CCATCCAGACAATTGCTTACCCACAGAGTGGTCCACCCTCATCCACAGAGATTATATAGCTTATATATAGCTTTTATCATTGGTGACAGTGTCAAATGCTTTGCACAAGTCCAGGCAGATGATGTCAGCTGCACTTCCCCTATCCGCCAATGCTGTAATCCCGTTGTAGAAGGCTACCAGATTTATCAGGCACAGTCTGCCCTTAGTGAAGCCATGTTGACTTCACTGATGAAAGGATAAGAAATAAAATTTTGGTTTTTTTACACCTACTTTTTACATAAGCTCACAGTAGTGGTGGTCACATTAAGTGCCTTATCCATCTTCTAACCCTTTGTTTTCCTTGTACAATACAGACTAATATTGCAACATGTTCTCAATGTTCTGAATTTCCATTACTTTCTCAACACATCTTTTGTAGGAAAAAATTTCTCTTTGAACTTCTTTTTTTTCTACGACACAGAGTCCACTGAGACTCATAAATTCTAATGCCATTTAATTTTTAATGATCTCTCACTAGATTTGGTACAGAGATTATTCATATCTGTGGGATCAATTAATTAATTAGAAATGGAATAGACCGCAAAGAAATACAGTGTTTTAAATTAATACAAAAGTTTAAATCATTTGGAATTTTTTAAATAGAACAGGCTGATTCTTCATAAGAGAGTTATGACCACTTATCTTACTCCAACGTTCTCTTCTTTTTAAAGGAAGGATACAAATGGTATTTGTTTTTAACTGCACCACTAGAGAGATCTTTTATTTTACAGAAAAAGTATATGCAAAACAACCAAAGTATTGGAAAGAAAGGCCTTAACCCTCCACATCTTGAAGCACATAAATAATTAATTCATGTGCTTTTAATGACATGAATATATTGAAAGTATGTTTACATGTTTTCATGAGAATGTCTGAAGTTTGAGCTCTAGAGCCATTTTTATTCAGTAGCATAAAATTTATTGTCATGAAACAAAATTTCCTCAAGATAGCATTGAAAACTGATAGTTGGTACATTTTAAGTATACATACATGGCAATAGAAAGGTTTTTAAAACTTGTTTCTTAAAGGATGTTCATTAAAAACAAAGAATAATATTCTAATATTTATAAATTCCAAAAGCATGTTTTAAAGTAATTTAAGTTCTTTAATTCAAACTGGAACAAAACCCATCATTTATCAAAAACACTTTTGTTTTCTTACTTTTTTTCAGATCAAGCTGGTGAACTGTATAGCTAAATATACCAAGTTTCAAAGCACTGTCATCAATGAAACTCTGCTTTTGCAGCACATTCTAAAGGTTCCTTTAAAAGGGATTCCCTTTGTAAAAATCTGAACCATAGCAAAATAGTAAATAATTAATTCTAAGAGAATTTGAAATAATTTGTTATCCAAATTATGTTCATATAAAGGTGGGAAATAATGATGATAAAAACACTTTTATTTTTGTGCGTGTGTGTGTAGATAATAGTCTAAATAAAATATATGAAAAGGAAAACAATGTTTGGAACACTATGGACTGAAATATCTAAAATATTCAAGCACAAATTGTTTCTCAGGTTTCATATGTACAGCTCCATCTGGTTTGGACACAAGTTTCATTTGTGTATTTTAAAGCAGAATTTGGCATATATTAAAATAAAACAAAAACTTTAATTTAGTAAAAGACAAAAACTCTAGTATTCAACTGCAGATCATATTCTGATTACCTGACAGATTTAATTAATAATTCATATGACTATGTGTCATATGTGTTAATAATGTGTTCATATAAAACTTCATGTATCAAAAGACAGGAAGGCTTAGGCTGAATTTGCAGTATGTATCTTGTTTGAAATTTCTGTTGTCAACATTATGCTTATTAAATCCATAGTTAATTAAAGAATGAAAAAAAAAAGCCAACATTTAAGAAATTCCCAGATGAACAACTTCTACTCCCCTTCAGTTATACTAAAGAAGCCATCATATGCATTTTTATCTGATTTTAGAACTGCATCCTTATAGAAGGCTGTCTGAGGCTGATATATCACTATGGCTAAGTTCTGGATTTTGTCTTCTACAGCTATGTTGTATTTTTGGCTTGGATTATTACAGCAGTTTTGAAGTATGTCTCCTGATAGTCCTCAGTGGGTATGTGATGTGTTTCACTTAACAGTTTTTGGGTGTACTAGATTGTTTTAGTGGGAAGTTAACTGGAAGTTCTCTCTAGGTACATATTAAATGATCTCCAACCTTGTTTGCATGTGGGGTGGGTATTTTAATTTTTTTATATTGTTTTTTTTTTGTTTGTTTTCATGATTTTATCTCTTAAAATTACAATCATATTGTGACCTTTCTGAAATAGAAACATGAACTAGGAGCATTGGGAAAGATGTCCCTCTAGATATTGGGCTCCTCACATGTGCAGATGACTAAACTGGGAGGAGCTGTTGACTCCATCAGGGGCAGAGAAATGACAAATTAGAGGTCCTGGCAATATAATATACAATACACAACAATATAAATACACAACAATATAAAGTTTAACAAAAGCAAGTGATGGATTTTGCACCTGGGATGGGGTAACTCTGGCTATACAGACAGAGGGACAAAAGGCTAGCAGGGCAAGCAGCCCTGTAGAAAGGGATCTGGGGGTTCTGGCTGGTGGCAAGTTGAACGTGAGCCAGCAGTGTGCCCTGGAAGCTAAATAGGCCAACTATTGCCTGGGATGCAAAACACACAACAGCACTGCTAGCCGGTCAAGGGCAGGGATTATCCCACCCTGCTGGTACACCTTTACTTCGAGTACTGTGTGCAGTTTTGTGTTCCACGGTATAAAAAGGACATAAAACTATTAAAGAGCTTCCAAAGGAGATCAACAAAGATGGTGAAGAGGACAAGACATATGAGGAGCAGCTGAGGTTCCATTGGTTTGTTCAGCCCAGAGCAGAGGAGGCTGAGGGAAGGCCTCATAGCAGCCTGCAGCTCCCTCATGAGGCAGGCACTGAGCTCTGCTCTCTGGGGTCAGTGACAGGACCCGAGGGAACGGCATGGAGCTGGTACAGCGGAGGGTCAGGCTGGGTGGTAGAAAAAGGTTCTGCACCCAGAGGGTGGTCAGGCACTGGGACAGGCTCCCCAAGAGCCTTGGTCACAGCACCAAGCCTGCTAGAGTTCAAGAAGCATTTGGTCAACACTCTCAGACAGAGGGTCTCATTTTTGGGTGCTCCTGTGTGGAGCTACGAGTTGGATGCAATAACCCTTTTGGGTCCCTTTCAACTTAGGATGTTTTTATGATTCTATGAATAACATTTGTCACTACCAACACTGACATTACATTTCCTTTCCTGTCCTTCAGATATGACACCAAATATGTCACCAAATATGTCCTGTCTTTATATCAATTCTCAATACCTTTTGCTCTTTTGCTTTCAGAATTATAGAACATCTTACACCAACACCTCCAACCAACTGAAATGTATGCAATAAACACCTTTGTCATCCTGTTTCACAAAAAGAGATGCCACACAGCATTACAGGAGCATAACTTGATCTTATATGCTCTGGACATACAGTTAAAGAAGCAAGAATAATTTTCTATGAAAGCAACATTAAGCTGTGGTTTCAATATGGAGCAAGAGAGAACTACAAAAACAGTGTAACAAAACTTTGCTACGTGTTTTTAACTCACCTCTCACTTTCTCCAAAATCCTGGGCTATTGCTTCCCAATATTTGCTCTCAGGTAAGCATTAATATATTCTAAATACATAACTACTGGACTCTGTTGTAGATTTACAGCCTTACTACTCAGATTCTGCAGAGTTCTGCAGCATTTAGAATATACCATACAAGGCCTACACACACAAAAACCTAACATATCCACACAGCAGTCATCTGCATGAATATGGTCAAATATATTGGGGGTAACTTTTTCAAGTGAAGTTTATACACATAGACAGAATGACAAGAGGATGTGCAAGAGAAAAAAAAAAAAAAAAAAAAAAAGATGGTTAACACTGTTCATATTATGCTACATTCACTGCAACATATTTCACCAATTCCCAGACAGCAAAAATACCATTTGGGCTCCGGATGAGAATTTAAAGCATGAAAGGCTGAGGAATCTTAGCTAATTGTTCCATATATATTTGTGTACACATTTATTCTCAACAACCCTACTGAGAAATCAGTAATCACAGTCTAACCCACTTAAAGTTGTTTCTTAAAAATTAGTATCTAATACATTTTTCTGTAGTAATGAAACTCCTAAACTTCAGAACTTATGTTTCATCAGGATAGACAAGAAGTGAAAAAAAAATATTTTAAGAAGAATGGCAATTTAGTTTGAAATATAAGCGAACATATCACTTTAACTGACTACCAATTTATCTTTCAGATATTCTCCCTACAGATTTCTATTTCAAAATCAAGTCTGGAAAGTTATATATGAGAGAGAATCTACACATCTCTACTACTTGAGAAAGATTGCTCAAACTGATCGGTTTTAAATCAGGAGAAAAAAAAAAAGAAAGAAATACGATCTCTAAGATTTAGAATGCAAGAGGAAAGAGATGGCTTAGAAAAATATACACCCTCTTTACAAAGAAGTATCTTTAATGTTTAGATATTTAAAAGGTAAATCAGCTGCGGAAGTATGAAAAGCAAACTGATCTATCTTTAAATAACTGTTTCTGAACTTTGAGTAGTGAAGTTATGCTTGCAGATTTATGCAGAGAGAGAAAAATCATTAAAGTTTCCTATTACTACATAGTACCATGCAGTAAATCAGAGAAATCTGCATTACAAACTTTATATACACTGAAAGGGACACTTTCCAACAACCTCTAGCTTAAACAATATAAACATCGGGGGAAAAAAAAAAAAGAGGTTGCTGACTTTTCAAACATTTGTACTAAATCTTAACCTAAACATTTATCATAGTCAATCAATCAATAAATAAAACTGAAACATAGCCTGGACAGTATACCCCTAACTTTTCAGTTCATTTATTCCCTCCCCTCCTTACCTTCTCTGGAGCTGCAGGAGGGTGAAATCTCTTTGCACAAACTAGAAATCCATCAGGCTGTGGTTTGCCACTCTTCACCTCAGGGTCATCTCCCAACACAATATGATGAAAAAGACCGAAGAAGTCTTTGTGTCTGGCTGTTTTCATCTGAAATGTCACTTCAGCTGAGCTAGTGGCAACAGCTATGGGTATGTTGTGCTTGTGTAAATGCCGGATCAGCTTATCAACCCCTGCAAGACAAATACATTATATGTATATATGCATATCCATAGGTATTCATATTAATATTTTTTCTTAATTACAACACATTTGGCAATACTTCAACAATGTTGTCATACTGAATATAACATTTTACTTTGATCATTTAAGTGTCAAAGAGAATTCTTGTTATGTCTGAAATGTTCTTGCTCCATGCAAAGATCATAGAATATTCCTCAAGGTATATATTTATTCTGTCATCACAATGTTTTTCTCAAAATATGCCAAAGATTACTTGAATATCATTGTATACCCATCCCAATCTCGTTCAGTAAAGTCCTCAACATTATATATGTTCATTATTTCAAATTCTCTGTAAGTGGAAGAAAAACACAGGAAAACAATTCCTTTTCACACATATACCTGGAGTTATGCTCCTAGTAAACAAACAAAAATACATAGATAGATAGATGGATCAAGGTCAAAAAACATGCTCTTCTCACTGACTGGTACAGTCTTTAATTTCTGAAGCAGGTAACCCTAAGAGTGCTCGGTTTCTCTTTAGCAATTACTAGAGAAAGTAACTGGGCAGAATAGAGGAGTTGTCAATCACAGTTGTTAATACCAGAGCTTTACCTATTGATGCTGTGAACCCAGAGTAATGAACACCTTGAACATAATAGGTAGAAACTTTAATCGGATCCAATCTTCTAGTGAAGGTTAATGTAGGGAAAAGTAGAAACATGGCAGCCTATGTAAGAAGGAAACATGCTTCATTATTCAGTGCAAGTTTTGAGTTTCTTGTGCAAAGGTTTCAATGTTTCTTCACAGCAGCATTCTGAATGCAGGTTACCTCTCTTCAGATAACTAATTTTCTTCAGTCCCACAGCTTCAGCTCATCTGTCAGTATATGTTTACTCTACACTTCTATTGGAGGTAGCCAGCTACAGAAAAGCACTGTTGCTGAAAGGTCATTTCTTCAGGGTCATTTCTTTCTCTTATATTCCCTCAGCACTTCTCATGATTCCAGTGTGTAAATATGTCTATGTGCATGTTTACTTTCTCTTTTTGACTGTCCTAGCTAAAAGGGAGCTAGAATGCAGCTGTCCCTAACACCTTCAGACAGCAAAGATATATATTACTCAGAAAATGCACTTTAAAAATGTCTTTAAAATGATTACTTGAATATGTGCAAACAGCAAGACAGATTAGAAAAAAAAATAAATATACAATAGGAAAATCAGCTGTGCAGAAAAAAATAAATTGCATATGGAAGAATAGCTTGCATAACTTAGCAAGATGAAGACAGCAGCAGTAGAAAAATATTTTCATTCAGTGTTTATTATTTCTTTGGAAAAACTACACATCAACAAAATCCATTTTTTGTTTGAGTCAATTATCACCAATATAGCTCTAGACAGTTACCAGCACACTGAATTACTAATATGATTACTGTATTAATTCCTAATAATTCTTTATTAGGAAGATAATATCTTTTTTAGTACCTTCCTTTTGCCTTTTTTTTTCTCAAAAAAAAAAACCAACAACCAACAGGTGGGGAAATGGGGAACTGATTGAAAGATACAGAAGCAGCTTCCACTGGCACGTACTTTGTTGCTAAATTCACCTACAGCTATAAAGCATTTTCAAATGAAGACTTCAGTTACATCAAAAACAACCAATCAAAAACGCAATGTCTCTGAAGAAGTACAATGGAAGTTTTTGTGAACTCACTAACTTCTAACTTACTTACTACCATGTAAGGTATCAAGGTCCATCCACCACAGAAGGACCCACCTGCTACGCTTCTTCAGACCATCCTCCACCCCTCCCGCTGAAAGTTCAGCTACATGGAGCAATTCATTTTTTTCTTCTAGTCTTCAAGCAGTCATTGATTAAAAACAATAACAACAACAAAAAAGAAAGAACAAAAGAAATAAGGTTCCCCGTTTTTCCAGCGTGAGGATATAGTCTTGATGTACTATATACACAGTGACAAACCTAGAGCACAGCATCATTTCCTTCAAGAAATCATAACAAGATCAGGAATATATATGTTACTTTGTTATACTTGATTTCCAAATGTACTCTTTTCATCTTAAATCATCAAAAAGGTAAATGATGTTTCTTTCCTCTATCCCTAATAAGATCGAAAACAGACACAGAAGCTTACTACATTTCATATGCAATAGTTACACACTGATGGCTACTGGAAGGAAATTAGGTAAAAAGAATTCTAAGCTAAATTTAGGTAAGGAAGCAAAAAAGGAGGATCAACTTTAAACATCAGCATGTTAAAAACGGATTAATCACAAATGTCAATGAAGTTAGCAACTCTGAGGGAGAAAAAAAAATAAAATAAAACCTAAACCAAGAGAAAGGAGTGATTTCTCCTGAGACCACAAACACATTTTGGAAAAAAAAAAAAAAGATATCAATACTTTTTTTTCTGAAAGTTGCAACATATAGAATGTATACATTATTTTATTTCATTTTTGAAGGAAATATTATTCCTCCACTAGTCTCCTAATGTGCTCTTCATTCTCTTTAGAGTCTGCTGAAACCACAGTAACAACTAACATACTGGATCAACTGAGAAACTTAAATTAAGACTTACCCTGAACAACAACAAAATCCTTGGGCTAACTCACATTTTCCTTTTCAGTGACCAATACAAACATGAAGTGCAAAAGTTCAGGAAACCAAAAAATGCTATGCTAAAATGGTATGTCTAAAATAGTTCCTTTCTAATTATTTATGTGCTGTTACAACATTGTATTCTACATGATTTCCCCCCCCCTCAACCCCGAGGTTGGAAGAGAGCTCTGGAGATCACCCAGTCTAGCCCCCTTGCTCAAGGTGAGTCACCTAAAGCTGGCTGACCAGGACCACACCAGGCAGCTTTTGAAGATCTCCAGGGAGGAAGACTCCAAAACCTCTCTCTGGGCAACCTCAACCTGCACAGCAAAGTGTTTCCTGATGTTCAGATAGAAACTGTTTGTGCCCACTGCTTCTTGTCCTGCCACTGGGCACCACTGAGCCCAGCCTGGCTCTGTCATCTCAGCATCCTCCCTTCAGGTACTCATACTCATTGATGAGATCCCCCCGAGCCTCCTATTCTCCAGACTGAGCAGTCCCAGCTCTCTCAGCCTATCCTCAAAGGAGCTATGCACCACTCCCTTGTTCAACCTGGTAGCCCGACATTGGTCTGTTTCCAGTATGTCTCTTGCACTGGGAGCCCCAGAACTGGACACAGCACTCCAGGTGTGGCCTCATCGAGCTGAGTAGAGGGGGAGGATCACCTTTTTTGACCTGTTGGCAACACTTGGCCTAATGCAGCCAAGAATACTGTTAGCCTTCTTAGTAGCAAGTGCACATTGCTGATTCATGTTGAACTTGTCCTTTTCTGTCATCCTGCTTTCCAGCTGGGTGGCCACAGGTGCTTGGGGTTATTCCTGCCGAGGTGTAGGACTCTACATTTCTCCTTGTTGAACTTCATGAGATTCTTGTCAACCCACATCTCCAGCTTGTTGGGGTCCCTCTGGATGGCAGCATGGCCCTCTGGTGCCATCCCTCCAGTTCCATATCATCTGAGGGTGCACTCTACCCCATCATCCAGATTGTTAATGAAGGTGTTAAAACAGGACTGTACCCAGTACCGACCCCTGGGGTATACTACTTGTTGCTGGCCTCTAACTAGACTTTGCACCACTCACCACTACCCTCCAGGCTTGGCTATCCAGTCAGCCTTTTCAATCCACCTCATTGTCTGCTCATCCAGCCCATACTTCAACAGCATCTCTACGAGGACCTGATGGAGGACAGTATCAAAGGCCTTACACGAAGCCCAGGAAGACAATATGCACTGCCCTCTCACTTTCAGTTATCTCCTCTTTTTAGTTATCACATTTTATACTAAAATGTCATTATTCATTATGAAGCAAAAATTAATAATACATTTGTAATACCTGTAACCTAACTCAATTTGATGGAAAACAAAGTAAACTTTGATTTTCCTTTTAGTTTTATAAAAATGTGACCTCTGTTTCATACAAGATATTTCAGAATGGTAAATGACATACACGTTTTTGCTAGACTTTATTCAGCATACTTCCAAATTGCCCTATCATCCCTATCATCCCTTTTCCTCTGTTTGTCTACCACTGAACAGGACACTGTTCTTAACATGCATCACTACTGGAGCTTCAGAGTGAAATCTATTTCCTGCAGAATGCCTCCAGACAAATATGGAGATAATATAAAGCTGTTCTATTTTTTTTCCTTGTACAGATTTCCAACCAAACTTCTGTCTTATAAAACATTTTATATATATATATATTTCTCTTTTCCTGAAGTGAAGTTTGTATGAACGTGTTATAGTAGACTATAAGAATGTTTTGAGATAGAAAGGAAAATAATGTCCATCACAAACAGGGCAAATATATGAGATGGGGAAAATGATTATTTATTCCACTTCAGCAGTGAACCATAATTTGTTTCCTCAGTTCAACAGTTGAATGTTTTCCGTTGTTCATATTTCTGCCTGCAGTCTATTCACTTGAAACCATAACTACACCATCAGGCAGACAATTGCACACTAAGCTCTGCCAGTATCTTAACCTGAAAATTCCCTGTTTGATGGTCTTCTCGGTATGGTCAAAATCCTACAGTCTTGTGGCTTCAGGAATACAGCTGGCTTGCGTACAGCAAGCAGAGTGCAAGAACAGTACCACATAAATACTAGGCCTATAGGGACAATCCCAAAGTCTTTTCTAAGTGTCTATTACAATCCTAAAAAGATGAACATTAACTATGTATGAGAAAACCCCTAAAAAATTAATGGAAGTCCCTGGGGCCTTCTCTTGAACAAAACCATGGGCTGTATACAGGATCACAAGAAGCTAGTATAATAAAATTCACAAGCTAGCTCTTAAGCTTCAAAATTAGATCTCAAATAAGCAAACAGTGGCATTTTCAGGGGCAAATCCATTCATGAAATCACCATGTACCACACCTCCTGTTTATCTTCCTT